ACCATTTTTTTTCGGCGAACGAGCACCCACCGAATTTCCGGTTAGTATTTTTTAGCTTTTCTTGTCATATACCATCGATTCTTTTTGTCTGGTACCTTTTCCGACGACCGGATCTCTGATTTTTCTATATTTCTCTATTTACAAATTCCGGCAACTGTTTTTCTCAAAATTTTACAAGGTCCAACGTCTCAATTTTGATTTGTATTTTCGTACCTTTATTATATTCGTTGTGCTTGGATCACTACTCTTTTCGGAGTAGTCGTTTTGAGATATTTGGGTTAGACTTGTGTGATTTAGGCACGTCTTGCCGGGCGTGCCACATATTTGTGTTTTTGCCGGGATTTTGAGTTTGTAGGTACCTACTTACGGCAAACGCCGGTAATCGTTTATGTGTTTCATACAAACAGAGCTCGTTGTGTCGAGTCATGGCAAACATCGACAAGGACTTAGAGGCCGATTTTTGCGTTTTCACGTGTACTTGTGTCTACGTCGAGTTTCTGCATGCATGGTTACCATCTCTCCGAGACACACACGCATGGCCTCTCTCGATTCATGTGCTCAATGTTACACCATTCGGATGGCTCCATTTCACGCTCGATGGCCTTCGTTTGACCTCCTCTATTCCCTCCGGACGACCATTATTGGACACACGGTGGTGACGACCACCGTGTTGAGTACGCATTTTCTTTTCTTATTTTCTCTTTCTTTCTTTGCTTGTTGTGAGTCTTTGTGTTATTTCTTCTCGTTTCTTTGATCTTTGTGTCTCGTTTTCATTTTTATCGCATGAACTTACGTGATTATGTGCCTTCTTCTATGCTTTTTGGTCAAGCAATGAGGACATTGCTTTGTTTTAAGTGTGGGGAAGGGATTTTCGTGATTATGCATGTTTAGGTGATGTTATCTTCGTTTTTGTGCCTTATTTTTTCATTTTTGTCGTGTCGTGGACCGGTTTTATTTGAGTTTTTGTGTGTTTGTGTCATCTCTCCCGCATGAAACTTGATGTTTGTTCGAGAGTCGAGATAGCTAAGTGGTGAGTCGATATTACCAATCACACTATTAGCATTCATGCTTGATGAATTTGACGGTATCCTTTAATTGATTGATGATTTGTTGACATTGGAACTTGCATGTGGATTAACGGAATTGTTTTGTCCCTTGTTTGTTCTCGATTGGTTGTCTTGAAGCATGCTTTCCTTACGTTCGACTATCGTTGTAAACGTGTTATCTATACACTTGTGGTACATTTTGATCGAGTTAAGATGATTATGTATTGTAATGGTGATGTATCCTTGTGTGCCTCTCCCTAAAAAAAAAAGAGAATAAAAAGTGAGTCTGCGAGGAAGTACGGATTAGGCTCTTCTTATTCCGAGCCATTCGTGGATTGAGATAATGAGCCTGGGAAACCGGTCTAGAAAACTCGAGGAAACCCCTCGAGGTTAAACCTAGGGAATCTCGTCCGGAAACCTCGTTTGGAAAGAGAAGCTCACGAAATGAGTTCGTGATAGTTGAAAGGATTAGGCTCCTCTTGACTCGGTTAGTCTTCTAGATAAATCGGGTCAACGAGCACGGGAAACCGGCCTAGGCGACTCGGGGACAAACCCCAAGGTTAAACCTAGGTAATAATCGTCCTAACGGCTCTCATTTGGAAAACGTGACTCATTTAAAATAAAAAAATAAAAAAAATATAAATAAAAAATAATTTTAATAAAAAAAAGAAAAAGAAGAAAATCGGGAGTTGGCCTATTGATCTCGTGCTTATTATTTCATGTTTTATAGATCGTTTATGGTTTTTGCACGTATATGTGAATGAGGGGGGTTTGACTCGAGCGATCATTTGTGGAAGGACTTGGGACGAGTTTTTGTTTCGTTTGATTCACTATGTGGGGACCGTGTCTCAGATTGGATTTTGATTTTGGGATAACCGGATGATAATGAGAGTTTCATTTTGCATGTTCGTTAATCTTGGACCGTTCGATTTATCTATTCGAGCTATTTGTTATTTTGTTTGCTTGAGGACAAGCAAAAAACTAAGTGTGGGGGAGTTGTTTGTTATGTTTTTGTGCTTATTTTTATGTGTTTATGTGGGTTATCGAGTCGAGTTTAGGTTCGTTTTAGTGTCGACCAGTCCATTTTGTCGCATTTTGTGTGATTTTATGTTTTTCGTTTCATTTTATATTTTGGCGTAATTTCCCGTGCTTTTGGTATATTTTCAGGTTCATTCTGAGGTTGAACGAGGCGAGTCGAACCGGATCCTAAGAGACGAGCAATTTCGAGTCATTCAGACGAACCATTTCCAGTCGAGCATTTCGAGTCCATAGTCGAGCCGGACGTGCCTTGACCTGCCCAGAACTCGCGACCTCGCGCCATGATCCGCTACCTCGCGAACGGTTACAGCGTGCCAGCACGCCCAGTGCGCCGCGTGCTCGAGGACGGCGGCGAGACGTCGAGAGTGTCCGCGTGCCGTGCCTCGCACATGCTATCGTCTTTACGCCCATGCCCCTTACTCGCGACCTCGCGGAACTGCTGGCGACGTCGAGAGCGCCCGCGAACCTTGCACGCACGCAGCAGCTAATCGTACGTACGACCCAAGCCGCGACCTCGCGAGAACTGCCGCGAAGCTGAGAGTCCCGTGTTACTCCTAAGGATGAAATCGGTCGGAAACGGTCGAAAAGCTCCTCTATTGTTTTCTACTTTTATATTTGAATACGAACGCAGAAGCGGAAACGGTATAGTCGGAAACAATAACGAAAACGAACTTATGGTATTTCGAAAACGAATCAATTCGAGCGGAATTATGTCGAACACGACCGATGTACAAAAATTCAATATGAAATACCGACCCACGGTGCACAACTTTAAACATGTGAATGACCAAACTAACAAGTGCATGATTTAGTTCAAGTGCACATAATAGTTAACAGGTGCATGACCTAGGGTATTAACTCTTAAGTATCATCATAACTCACAAGTCTAGAACAAGCAATGAAGCAATTAATAAAACACAAACATCTACAGTTCATCAGCATCATCCATGATGTCAGGATCACTTTCCATGTCATTTGCTTACTCATTTTCCACCTCATTGTCCTCATCTCCCTCCTTGTTATTTTCCTACAAGTTTGTAAAAGTTATTAAAATTGTCCTCAACACCAATATAAAGTCAAAATTGAATTCTGCATAATAAAAATTTTCACCCAGGTTCTGAGGTCTAGTATTAAAAGATATTAATAGCTCGACATGCTTCTGGAATAACAAAGAAAATAGGTAGAAAAATCAAAGGCTAACACTTAGAACATTTTAATTCACTGCAACTTCACAAAAGCAGGGGCCAGCATCCTCAATTTCTTTACCACACATATGCTAGGCATAACTAGTGAAGATTACAACAAAGTCCAATACTACCAGAGGAAACAGTCAATAAACATACCTCAATTTTTAGTTTAGCCACAACATTAGTTAAAGCGTCAACCTCAAGATCACTCACAATTGATCCAAGCTTTTTAGAATCTGAAAAAAATAAGAAAGTAAAAATTAAATGCATTATTCAGCTGCAATTACAATTTACAAGTATCAAACTAAAAAAACAAGTAAAATGAGCACCTTTACTTGCTGCAGCAACCCAATCCTTTGTGCAAATTAATGCCTGTACCATCTCGGGATCAAGCCGACTGCGATAGGGATCAACAACATGGCCATCAGCACTAAAAGCAGACTCAGATGCTACTGTTGACACTTGTATGGCCATTACATCCCGAACAATTTGTGAAAGGATAGGATAATGCTCTCTCTTGTTTTTCCACCATGCTAAGATGTCAAACTCACCACTAAGTTTCAGTAGTGGTTATCCAATATACACGTCCAACTCATTTGACTCAACCATACCAGGTTCACTTGCTTCATATAAGAATTCTTCTAAGTCATGGTCTATATTTTCCATTAACATATCAGTTGTGTTACTAGGTCTGGGTGCAGCCCCTTCTCTAGTTTTCTTTGATGATGCAACAATATTAACATAAAAGTTGTACAGTTTCTTTACCTCACCAACAAACTCATCAAGTTCAGCTTGATAATAACCACCATAGAACTTCTTCATGTAGTATTCTATCAGCCTTTTCTTATACGTAGGGTCAAGAAAACAGGCTACAGCTAGAGCAATGTTGGACTGATCCCAATATTTGTCAAATTTTGACTTCATAGAAATTGTCATTTCTCTAATTGTAAAATTTTCATCATAGCGCCACTCATCAAGCAAGACCTTGATATCACAGAAACCTCTATAAAATAAGTTTGCAGTAAGGTATGAAGTGCCAGAGAGAATTTCAGTGAGATCATAAAATTTATTCAAGCAACCATAAATTGTCAATGCATTGTCCCATTCAGCAGAAGATGGAGAAATCTTGGCATACTTACGGCGATCTGAAGACTTCAGCCTAATAAATGCATCTTTGTAGTACAAGGCATCTCGCAGCATTAGGTAGGTAGAGTTCCACCTTGTTGAAACATCTATTTGAATACCCCTCTTTGTATCCAACCCAGCTTCAGTGGCACACTTCATAAGCTCTTCCCACTGCAATGGAGACCCTTTCATAGCTAATACAAGTGATTTGATCTTGCTGAGTGTTCCTGAAATGACTTTCAACCCATCTCTAGCAACCAAATTCAGAATATGGCATGCACATCTTACATGAAAAAATATCCCATCACAAACTAGGGAACCATTACCATTGTCTTTCAGATCAGAAATTATATCATTGACAACCACTTCATTTGAACTAGCATTATCCAAAGTCAGAGCAAACAGTCTATTTTCAATGTACCATTTAACCATAACTTCAGTGAATATTTCAGACAACTTTGCACCAATATGCCTGTCTTTTACATTGAAAAAAACAATAATTCTTTTTTGCATATGCCAATTATCATCTATCCAGTGAATAGTAACACACATGTACCCTTTGTTTTGGCATGAGGTCCACATATCCATTGTTGCACTAAAGTGACACTTCATAGTCTTCATGTATGCATACAAAGTTTCCTTTTCTTCAAGATATATGTCCATTATTTCTTTCCTAACAGTGACACGGGATTTTATCAGAAAGCTAGGACGGAGAGATTTGATGAAATCAACCAAATACTCACGCTCAACTATATTGAAAGGATATTCATACATGATTATTGCCAAATTTAATTTCTTCAAGCTAGTTTCTTGGTTAAATCTGTAAGGCTGAACATGAGCAATTTCAGAACCAGGGTTCTTACCAACTTTAAGCTGTTGTTGTCCCTTCACAATACTGTGTTTTGAAAGTAAATGGTGCTTGAATGAAGTTGTGCCATTGATGCCCTATGCTCTGTATTTCTGCTCACACCTAGAGAAATTGCAGTGTCCCCACAACTCCTCAACTAGCTTTCCTTTCACCTCTACATACTCTTTTTTCTTGGTGAAATAACTCCAGACCCACGATGTCAATTTCTTAAACCTCTTGCCAGAAAGGCAAGCCTGCTCATCATCCTCTTGTTCATCGTTGTCGACATTAATTGGCACTTGAACTTGCTCTGTTGCATCACTCTGAACTGATGCTGCCACTGATCCTAGCACTGATGCTACTGTAGCTGGACTTTCACAAGTTCCACTAGATGCAACACTTTGAGATGCTTCCCTTCTACTCCCTGATCCTACCAACAACCAAGTGAAACATTGCTAAATTAGAAAAAAAATTCAAAAATAGCCAAATAATCTAGCAAAAAGATACACGGACGACAAATCACCTTAACATCTATTGGTAGGGTGCATGTTACTAACATAACAGCATGGGATAGACATGCAAATAGCGACACATACATTAATTTGGAACCTGGTAAGCTCACTTAAAGCAGTCCAATACTAAAATTAAACTTGTTTAAAATGTATAACTCCAAATACTAGTTTTTTTAGTGTTCCATCCCGTAAGGTCATTTGAAAGAAAATTTAATATGATAATATGCACGCTACTTTGAGGTCAAGTAACAGTTGTTACAGTATTTTATTTAGGGTTGAAACTGAATAATAATATTTATGATAATAATAGCAGTGCACAAACGAAACTAAATAAGCCTGATGAATTCAGTGGTAGGAAGACGAACCTACTGTTGGAGACGTCGTTGCTGCCTGTACGGGCGGCGGCTCTAGAAGGCTACGCACACTCTTCATCTTGGGCTTGCTCCCCTTGCCCCTCTTTCGTTCCAGGAGCAGAAGCACGATCTCCAGCGGGCGCCATCGACGCGCGGGGTGGGGAGTGACGACCGGTGGCCGGCGGGGTGGGGAATGGCGACCGGCGGGGTGGGGAATGGCGACCGGCGAGGTGGGGAATGGCAGGCACGGCGCGAGCCTTGGAAGAGAGGAACGGTGAAGGCAAGTGAGGGAATACAGGAGTGGAGGTGGGTGTCAAGAACTTAGGGTTGTCAACTTGGGCTGGGCTGTAAGTTGGCTACTGGGCCATGTGTGATGTGAGTCATGAGACCTGTAGGGAATAAGGGAATTTTGGACCAAATTCGAAACCTTCCGAATATTAAATACGGTTACATATCGAATATAATATAGAAATGTAGAAATTGGTCGAAAAAGGCCCATATCGAATTCCGCTCCGTTTTTGAATTTTCTGTTCAAATTTCGAACCGAATTCGAATTATTCCGAAAAAAGTGAAAAACGATCGGGTAAAATGTAGAAAACGATGCGATTCGGTCGGGAAATTTCGTTTTCGTTTTCAACCCTAGGTACTCCTACCCAACACGCTCGCGTGGTCGTGAATTCCCCCGATATGTCGAGAGTGTGCCGAGTCGTCCACGCCCGTCTACTGCCGCACGCCCCGCATGCACCAACCCTGCGTACGCCGCGCCCGTGTCACGCACGCCCGCACCCCCGTGCCTTTCACTGCCCGCACCCTCGCGGAATTCACGGCGAGCTCGAGAGTGCCGCTCCGGTGCACATCACCACCGCAAGCTCGCGAATTTCGTAGCTAGCTCATGTGTGTCCCATTTTAAACTGCTTTTTTTAGTGTGTGTTTTGAGGAGAGTATAAATATTTTTGTTCCTTTACATTTTGAACATCATTCTCTCATTTTTCACTTTTCCCACTTTGGGAAATTAGCTTATGTTTATTTTTGCTCTCTAGATTAGGAGCTTATGCTATTTTCCAGGAGATTTTCTGGCGACTTCGGTTTCGTTCAAGTTTCAAGCTTCTGACTTCGTTTTTCATCGTCTACGCAATGGAAGATTGAGTATTTAGTTTTAAAGCTCTTTACTTCGGTTTATGCTCCGATTTTACTTACAATGTTCATTAGAGTAAATTTGGATTTGATTGATGATGGTGGAAATGCTTGAACTTGATTGTTTGCTTGAGTAGATAGAGCCGTTAATTGCTTGTTGATCTCGATTAGATGACTAGGGTTAGCAATCTAATGCTCGTAGCTCGTTTATTCTGTTTGTCGATTGATTATCATCCCGATATAGTCATGGCATGAGACTCCGGTGATCTAGTTTGCAAATTGCTCGCGATTTCACCTTGCTTCTAATTAATTTCCCGTTTTTAAGTGCTCGATTAGTGTTAATCAACCATCCAATCAATTGCTTTGATTGTTTAGGATTTTATTTTTCATTTTTGTGATTTGGACGATCATTTAGTAGATAAAGTTCTGAATAGCCTTCCTTCGAGATTGACCTGAGTCGGGTAACTCGGTTATCCCTTGCCCATCAAATCTATACTAAACAAGCAGCTTCACGCATTTCCTTTAGTTCCCCCTGAAACTACAAAACATTAATATTATAGCCCAAGAAAAAGTACAAAAAAAAAGGAAAAGGTGTAAAAACGGAATTACGCAGAGATATTTATATCTATGTCGCCATGTTAGCCCTTTTAAATCTATCTCCCTCTTTCTCAAACAAAATAAAACATAGAAAAGAGACAATTTTCACTGGAAGAACTCCTTAAACTCAGCATGAAAATCTCACAGCCTTCAGCTCTGAAATTTTGCAACAGAACATGGCTAGATCACAATATAAACAAGTCACAAGTCCAAAACAATCATGCTTTCTCGTACTCCACAATTTAAGCATTCTAACAAGCTTTTAACTTCTTAATTAAAATTGAAACTTTAGCACAATAGAGCACAATAATCTCAGCCGAGAATGAGTAAAAATGTACAACCAATATACCTCACTTCAGGCCCTTTTAAAAACAAAGGACGACAGCTCGGGTCCAAAGGCTAGGAGTTCTCGGCTTTACTGAATGAAAGGACTCGGTCTACTGGTGTTTTGCGTCGGCCCTCCCTCTCTCTACACCGTGGTTACTACTCACGATCGCTGCAGGTCGGGTGGCCTCTTGGCGGTGCTCGGGCGCTGGGAGTACCTGGCTTCGGTGGATGTTAGGCGTGCTGAACTCGCCGATGTTCATCTCCGATGGCCTCCTTCAGCCGCGGACAGAGATTGTGGCTCGTCGGACAAGGTTGGATCGTCGAACAAAACTTTGTTCGCCGGAAACAGAATGCGGCTCGGTCGAGGATGGTTCTTGGTCAGGATTGGAGGCTCACGGTCGCCGGGAAAACCGGTGGCCCTCGTTGTCCGTCGAGAAGGTCGGGCGTGGGCAGAGGTTCGTCAGCTGATTAGGTTGTCGGAGAGGAGGGCTGCTGTCCGGGAATCCTTCGCACAGAGGCTGGTCGGTCCTGGCGAACTGTTGCGGGTCGCAGATGGCGTGCGGGAACGCCGGCGATAAGGATACTGTGATGCTTCATGGTGGCGATTTTTGACTTTTGCTCTAGGGCTAGAAAGAAGCTTTTTTATGTCGTTGTGCGGTGGTTCTCGGCAAGTGTGTGGAGTTTGCCGCTACTGATCTCGACACTCGCGGCAAGTGTGTGGAGTTACCCGTCCTCGAGAATATCGTGAAAACAGACGAGATGATCGGGACCCAAAAGCTCGAAGAACGGCTACTGCTTGATTACGAACTGCTCGCTGGAGTCTTTCAGACGGACTGGGAGCTGCCTTCGAAGTCAGAGGGACGTCTGGCTTCTTGAACGGCGGCCGGAGGTGTTCACCGGAATCAATGGTGAATGGAGCTTTTGCTCGGGGTCGGGGCTGGATATGGCTTCTGATTGCGAGTGACCGCGAGAACAAGACGACAACAAGGAAGACGCCGGGAGCGGTGCTCTCGCCGGAAACAATGGCGGTCGCTGGAATTTCCGGTAGGCGATATTATTATTATTTTTTTTAAGTCTGCGAACGAAATGGAGAACAAATGGAGGGATATTTGAGAGATGGAGAATAATTTCTATCTTCTGAGGCGGAGTCTAGATATAGCCATATAGGAGAAACGAGACAACGTGGGAGAGATATCTCCACAAAAATCGCAACCAAATATTCAAACGGTTGAATATGACGACTCGGTCACAAGATTCTAGATGAACAATGCGCAGCGCATTAGAGAAGAAGAGAAAAGGCCGTCTGATTGAACTTCTAGTGGGCCAAGGAAAAGATAAACAATTGGGCCCAAAAATAAGACATCCATATTGGACCATTTTAAAACAATTAGGTTGGGCCAAATATTAAAAAGAAATTTTCATCTATCCTACATGATTCTAAAAATATTACAAATATACAATCCATAAACAAATAATTACAAATCTACCTAATAGATAATAAGTAACATTAATGCTTAAATTCAGTTACTATAATCTTCAACATCCATCCCCCTTTTTATGGAATTGATTAAGAGAGAGAAATGAAAAACATGCCTATAATAAATAACTAACTCATTTAATTCTGCGCAATTGAAATTCTTTAATTCACGCAGCTCATGTGGTATATGTTGAGTATATGTTAGTGTATATTCAGTATATGCGCGCAGCTGGAATTCCGTAATTCACGCAGTTGTCAGATGGTATATATTGAGTATATGTTAGTATATATTCCGTATATGTGTGCAGCTGGAATTCCTTAATTCACACAGTTGTCAAGTGGTATATATTGTGTTTATTTTAGTATATATTCAGGATATGTTGCACTGAAGAAAATATAATGTCGGTAATAAATGGGAACATTAAAATATGAATCCATTATATATGGAATGGAAATATATCCAAAACATAATCCGGATTAGTATATATTGAGTTTATACGTAGTATATTAAGAGAATATTTTATTGAAGGCGAAAGTAACAAATGAATAATTTTTTTAGGAGATTATTGCAACATATACTAAATATATACTAAATATAAACTCAATATATACTGCCTTTCAAGACATGAAAATTTATACTAAGTTTTAAACTCAACATAACCGTGTCCTTTGTTTTAGGAAGAAAGTGAAATTTAAACTTAATATGATGTCCTTTGTTTTAATTATGCTAAAAATAAACTCAACATATACTAATCCGGGATTATGTTACATATTCATAAGACGTACATGTACTGAACATATACTGCATATATACACTACACATACTAAAACATATAACAGAACAGAGAAATCGCCAACTAGCAACAACTTCACAACATTTTAAGAAAACAATCAACTCAAACAAGGTTTGAAACCCAACAAATGCACACCCTATCAACCGGCAAGAATCAAAATTAGAGAATTGCGAACATAATGAAACTATGTATAGATCCAACAATCAACGTCAATTCATTACATCATTTTTTTAATAAATGCAACAAGATCATCGAGGTTGACAATCCTCTTGATGTTGTTCTTCCGACGACGAGCTTGAATTGCAAAAAAAAAAAATGTAATAATTAAACCATAGCATGCATTGAATCCAACAAAGCCAGTATAAAATGCGAAATTGAAATGAGATGGCTGAAATCGCAGAGCCCAAACCACTATAACATGCAAAACTATCTTTGCACGAGGACAGTCAATAAAAGAACAACATACAACATTACATGGATCCATATAACTGGAAAAAAAAAAAAAAAATCTTCCTCCACTTATCATCAAAATTGAAATGAGATAGCCAACAAAAACAAAAAACAAAAGCATGCACTGAATCCAACAAATTGGAAATCCGTTGTACAAACACAATAATTTGTCACTATTTTTCTCGTCGGACACCGCTCCAAGCAGTTGTTCCCCAAGCTGCCAGAATCCGGTCCCCCGCCTGCGAAAAACTCCTCTGGCGGTGATTGCGGAGAAGAATGAGATTCGACTGGCGGGGGTAGTTGGCCGGATTAAATTAGGAGTTTTTTGGGTTTGAATCGGCATGGAGAAGGTTAACAAGAGGACTCTTTGATATTAGGAATTAATGGCTCATTTACATATATACTATAGTGATGGCTAAATAATTGTAAAATTACTAATTCCAGAACTTATTTGCAGTTATGCCTAATTGGCAATAAAAAAATTATATAAATACTAGATTGTAGATAAGGAGGAGAGAGAAAAGACTCTCCATTTTCAGTTACGGGAATCTTCCCATATATAAAAGAATATTAATGAATTTAGATAGATAGAAATCATGTTAAAGATTTATTTCTAAAAAATAGCATTTATTAAATTTGAATTAAAAAAAAGTAAATTAAATCACAGATTATGCACATATGTCATCTGAAACTGATTTATATACATGAATGTATAGGGACATAGATAGTTGTATAAAAGAATTATTAGAGGGGATGAACTTTATGGATTTTGTATGTACAATAGCTAAAAAATAATTGAAAAGACAACATATACTGAAAATATACTGAATTTATACAAAAATAGTTGTATGACACAGTTGAGCTACAGTTACTTGACGTATGATATTTAGAGATAAATTGTGAAATGTGTTTAATGTACAAGCATTATAACATGATATATATTTGACATTTTTATAACGTGTATCATCATATATACTTGACATATACTTTCAAATTGAGATTTGTGTATCATCATATATACTTGACATATACAACAACTAAGAAATAGTTGAAAATACAACATATATTGAAAATATACTGAATATATGCAATCCCAATCTGAATACATAAAACCAAATTTGAAAGTATATGTCAAGTATATATGATGATACACGTTACGAAAATGCCAAGTATATATCATCATTTATACTTGACATATACAACAACTAAGAAATAGTTGAA